TAGAGGAGTCCATTTCGCATCCTTCACTTGTAAAGCAGCCCATTGTGAAATTCTCCCTAAAGGACACAGGCGACTATGAAAAAAGTTTCAGTTGGGTAAGTCAGGTCTAAACTTTGACCCTTCAGGTGGTCATTCTTTGAAAAAGAGATCTATGTGTTACCTTTTGGAATAAGTTAAAATGCACGGTGGAAAGGAACATCTGAGACCAGCTGCCATTCCCGTAGAAACAAAAAGGTGAGAGGTGGAACATGCCCATTGGGGTATGTGCACATCTGGAAGAACACACAAGAAGCTGGTAACTGCAGGGGCCTTTGAGTACAAAAGTAGGAAAAGGGGGTCAGGAGAAGTATGAGAATTGAATTTTCTGTGTGCTCCTTTGTACCATTTGGAATTTTTTCCACATGTGTGTGTTTTTTTTAATTTTTAGGGAGTTTGTTTATTCATTCAACAAGCAATTTTGGCATGTACAGTGGGTATCAGGCATTAAGAGAATGAGATAAAGTGAAAGCACGCCAGGCCCTGACTGATCCCCGTCCCCAGGGGCACTGGGGGGTGTGCTGTCGAGCCCCGTAACCTGTCATCCAGGCTGAGACCCTCTGGCCAAGGGGGTTCCACCAACTGAACATCAAGTAAAGACAGCGGTGTGAAATGAGACTACCCTGGGCCACCAAGATATCTGGTTGACCCAGACAGGATAATGCCCACCCATAGCCAGAACCCAGGGCTGGTAAAAAGGGCGGACATAAGAACGGTGGGAAGATGACAGCTGGATCAGGGCAGCTTCCTGGAGGAGGATCTGAAGGGTGGGGAGAACTTAGATGGTAGGTTCAAGGGGGAGACAGGCAGAATTCGGCCCCCAGGAAGATGTTACACCCCAATCCCCCAGACTGTGGATATGATGATACGTCATACCCATGAACACACTACTGCCTGTCTCACGGTGGCTGCTACAACAAAACCCTGTGGACAGGGTGTCCTAAACAACGGGCATTTATTTCTCCAGTTCTGGAGGCTGGAAGTCTGAAGTCAGGTGCCACAGGGTCAGGTTCTGCTGAGGGCTCTCTTCCCGGTTTGCAGGTGGCACCTTCCTGCTGTGTCCTCACATGGTGGAGAAAGGGAGCGCTCTTGTGAATTTGGGCAGAAGGGGGGCGTAATCGTTTGGTCCACATAGCATTACCTTACATGGCAAAATGAACTCTGCAGGTGTAATTAAGGTTACTGATCAGTTGACATTAAGAGAGAAGATTATCCTGGATTACCTGGGTGGCCCAGTGTTATCACCCACATCCTTTAACCCAGAGGCAGAAGAGTTCAGAGAGATTTGAAGCCTGAGATGGACTCCTCGTGCCACTGCTGGCTTTGCAGATGGAGGGGCCCTGTGGCCAGGAACGTGGGTGGCTTTCAGGAGCTGAGAGAACATCCCTGGCTGACAACCACGAGGAACTGAATGAGGCCACAACCCAGAGGAGCTGGATCAGATCCTTCCCCCAGGCCCCAGATGAGCACCTAGCCTCACCAACACCTTCATTTTAGGCCTGCGAGATGAGACGGAAGCAGAGAAGCCAGTGCCCCCCTGCAGACACTGTGAGAGCCTCAACAGTGCTGATTGCAGCTGCAGAGCTGGTGGTGATTTGTAGGAGGGCACTAGGCAGTAACACGGGGTCGCTCCGTCAGGGTGAGGGTGAGGCCCATACCGCGGGAGCTGAGGTCACGTAGGCAGGTACCCATGGCACCCCAGCAAAGCAGGCCCCGCTGGAGAAAACAACAGCATAGTCTCGATGGCAGGGGGGCTGCCAACACAGCCTGGGAGGCAAGGAGGCAGAGCACAGGGCAGGGCCTGGCCCGGCTGGAGGGCCCATCCCGGCCCCCGGACACCAAACTTGGCAGGAATAGGGCCCAGTGTGACCAAATAACACAACTCCTCAAGAGAATCCAGAAATCCGATTTTTGTATAAAATATTCTCATTCAAACTTTAAAAACACTGTGCTGGCCAACCTTGTGCAGAACAAGAAACACAGAGACGTGTGTCTTGAACCAGATGTGACCTTCTGTGTAAGAGAAAAGGCAGAAGGGCCCCGAGCATGGGCCTTTTCAGGAGGCAATAGGGACCCCCCTCCCCTCACTCAGAAGAGAATGGGAATCCACACATGTGGAAGACCCACCTCTCCCAGTGACCGTGCGGGGGACCCACTCCCAGCCCCCCAACAACCTGACGTTTTCAGGGCTACGGGCCCATTTCCAGATGAGGCCACTGAGGCCAGAGCGGTTCATTTAATCCCCTGTGATTACATGGATGTGAGGTGGTGACTGGCTTGAAACTACGCTTCTGATTCCAAAATCTGGGTCCGTCTGGCTGCTCCACGTGGCATCCTGGCAACACGGGATTTTTCTCTTTTGATTGCACAGGGGTTTGCTGTGCGTTTCCCGAGGCCTGGACTCTCCTCCCCTCACTAGGAAACCAGCCCCCTCCTCATTCAAGGCTTGGCCCTCCTGTCCAGCTCCTACCACGGCAGGCGCCCCTCCTACATCCCAGTCTTTCGGGTTCTGTCCCCACGGCCCGCTTGTAGCTCAATCTCTCAGCTTCCCAGCTCTGAAGTCCTGAGGAAGGAACCTAACTGGTTTGAGTCATGTTTCTGTCCCAAGTGATGATGGGTCACAGGTCCCTTCCAGCCTGTGGTCAGATGCCAGTCCAGGAACGACCCTCTGTAACCCCTCCCATCCTGACTCCCCTCCCCACCCCCTCCCCAGCTCCAAGCAACCCCGTCTTAGGACCAATCCCCAGAGGTACGAAGAGGACCGCTCAGGGAACAGGCTCGGGCGAGCCATGTCCCTAAAAGCAGCCCCCAAACGCCTGCGCAGCTGTGCCTGATGCTTCTAATACAGCTTGAACAGCGGGGCCTGGACCAGGTAAGGTAAGCGTGGAGGTCAACGGTATCTGATATCATCTGAAGCCTCTGAGATGCCCACCATGGCCCTGGGTGGGGGCGCTGGCAGCAACACCATACTGCTCACCCCTCCTCACCTGCCGAGTGACCCAGGTGAGCCAAGAAACTAGGGGGTGTTCCACGTCCCCCACCCAAACCGTCAGCGACTCCTGACCACAGCGCTAAGCGTCAACTCAACAAATGGTCTCTTCGCATCCCTCTGAGAGGATGAGATTTTGTCAGCAGTGAGCGCTCGCTCTGCCTCGTTCCGACATGGAGAACTTAGGGAGCCTGTGTGGGGGCATCAGGTCAGTGAAAGTGGAAGACAGACACACGATGAGGTCAGATGACTCATACCCAGAGAAGCATTAAGTCTTAAATTCTCTTACAACAACTTCATTTTGAATGAAGGCAGGAGGCTTTTAAAACAGTGTTATTGAGTTATACTGATACATAATAAGCTGCCTACGTGTATATAAAGTGCACAATTTGATGTTTGACCTACATATACACCTGTGAAAACATCACCACAATCAGGACGTATATCCATCACCCCCCAGTTTCCTCATAGCCATTTATAATACCCCCCAGCCCTACCCACTCCCCATCCATCCCTGTCTCCTGGCAACCACTGATCTTCTTTCTGCCACTACAGCTGGCACTCTCTACTATGTTACGTAAACAGAATCATATGGTACATACTTGGTTTTCTCTGGCTTCGTTCACTCGGCACAGTTCTGACATCCATTGTGTACTTGTGCCCACTTCAAAAACTCATCCCGTTTCATGGCTGAGTACTATTCCAGGATACGACAGACCATGATTTGTCCATCCATTGATGGACATTTGGTTTATTTACAGTTTGGGACAATCACAAATACAGCTGCTGTGAACATTCACGTACAAATTTTTGTACTTGGGAAAATGCCTAGGAATGGAACAGCTGGATCGTTTGGTAGGCATGTGTTAGATCATGGCCATTTTCATGGAGCTCCCATGCAGGTTTCAGAGGGTCCACACTGTGTGTATTTAACCTACAAGATAAGGTACACACTGGTCACATGGGAACAAATGATCCACACACTCACAAGGAGGCCACATCAGGCTGCAGCCACTTCATTCCAGTCCTCCCAGTGTATGGAGAGGGTTCCCAGCAGGGAAAGTCTCCCAGCATGACCTCTGATTTTGTAAGATGCTCTGAGCGGGGCTTCCCTGGTGGCGCAGTGGTTGAGGGTCCGCCTGCCGATGCAGGGAACACGGGTTCGTGCCCCGGTCCGGGAGGATCCCACGTGCCGCAGAGCAGCTGGGCCCGTGAGCCATGGCCGCTGAGCCTGCACGTCCTGAGCCACAACGGGAGAGGCCACAACAGTGAGAGGCCCGCGTACCGCCAAAAAAAAAAAAAAAAAAAATGTTGTGCACACAAGCTCCTGACACTCCAGAAATGGCCCACAGGTGGGCTGTGTAATCTGCCTGCAGCAGATCTTTATATGATGGCAGTATCGTGTGGGTCTAGAGTAGAATAGTTATGATCAATACCGAGAGCTATGCATGAACGGCAGGAGGCGTTCTGCAAGGGTGGTCCCACCAGCATCACCCGGGGATGCACATCTCCCCAGTCCAGACCTACAGAGTTGAAACTCTGAGGGGGGGTCCAGCAATCTGGGCTTCCAGGCAATCTGAAACATGTTCTGGTTTAAACACAAATAGCCTAGAACATCGTTCAAGCCCTTTGACTCTCCTGGAATTAAATCCATCAGAAGTCACACTACGCCAAGAGTGCATCTTCTCGATGGCCTCACTCCATCCACACAGCTCTGGAACCCACCCTCTTAGAACGCTGCCACCCGCGTTAAGGTCTCCTCGAAGAACCAAGCTACCGACTGGAATGCAGACCTGCACAGTGGTGGTTACCACTTCTTTCCCAAAGCACCAGACTCAAAACAAAACAAAAGTCCCAGGAACTCAATCACTGGACCATTTAAATCCAACCGTCAAAACCACCCATTTCTCTACCTGGGGCTTTCACCCTAGCATATTATGACATAAATGAACCTAAGAAAAGAAAAAGACAAAGATTTTAGATGATACACTCCAACACTCTTTACTGCTCTAGAACCCTCGCTCCAAATTTACACATCAGCAGAAAAATTGATTAAACTTGAATAGGAAGAATTGGAGAAAAAATATTGAATACTTTTTGTTTTAATCTTCAGCTGAAGCGTGATTTCCGCTCAACATTATAATCGGAGGGAAGTGCTGGTCATTTCCTTGGTATTTTTGCAGGCTCAGTACTTAGCCCAGTCTTTGAAAACCCTCTCCAGCTTCTGGCCAAGCAGAACTTTGCCGCTCACTTTGAGCTTGCCAGCAAGGAAAGCCTTCTGAGGGTTCATTTTGCCCAAAACCAGCGCCATAAAGACAGGCTCCGGGATTGTGAAGACAGTGTCCGCTGGGAGCCTGGCGGGTCCTGGATACATGCTCCCAGAGCCATTCTTCAGATCAATGGTCCACTGCAGAATGGTCTTCCCATCCTTGGTGATGTCCAGCTGAAAGATGGCATTGACTTTCTTTACCAGCTGGGCCCCCACTTCTTTGATGTGATGACTGATGTCCTCAAACACAGGGAAGCTCTGGAATTCTGACAGCGCTACAGGGTGTGGCACAGTGAGTTCCTGAGCTGGACCCAATTCCTTGAGCTGGCTTGCCTGAGGCCCATCCCCTGCTTTGATCTTGAGTTGACGGTCGATTCTCTTCCACATCTTACTGTGCTGGTCCTCTTGACCTTGCCAACTGGTTTGTAAGCAGCTGTAGCCAGATTAATATCCACAAGTTCATATTGTGACATAAAAGGAGAGGCCAAGTGGGGAATAAGACTGGTTTGTGTGCCGCAGTCTTATTGGCCAAACAGATGCTAAAATGTGACATGGGGTGAGGGCTCAGACAGGTCATTGTGAGGCAGATCCACACCACCACCCCCCAAACCACAAGGTCCCACAAGCCCAGCCCAGAGAGGTCTGGACCCCATGTTGGGAATAAGAGAAACTGGCCCCAGAAGGTTCTTTGGTGACATGAGCTCTGTCTTTTCAACTCTTTTTTTTTTTACTTAATAAATTTATTTTATTTATTTATTTATTATTTATTTATTTTTGGCTGCATTGGGTCTTCGTGGCTGCACGCGGGCTTTCTCTAGTTGCAGCGAGCAGGGGCTACTCTGTTGAGGTGCGCGGGCTTCTCACTGCGGTGGCTTCTCTTGCTATGAAGCACGGGCTCTAGGCATGTGGGCTTCAGTAGTTGTGGCAAGTGGGCTCAGTAGTTGTGGCTCGCGGGCTCTAGAGCGGCAGGCTCGGTAGTTGTGGTGCATGGGCTTAGTTGCTTCGCGGCATGTGGGATCTTCCCGGCCCAGGGATCGAACCCGTGTCCCCTGCATTGGCAGGCGGATTCTTAACCACTGCACCACCAGGGAAGTGCTGTTAGGGTTTTTAAAACTCAAACTGGTTCTCTCCGCTGCCCTCTCTCCCTCGCAAGCCTCACTCTGCCTGGCAGAAGGGGTGCTCCCTCTGTCAGTATACATAAACAAATAAAGACTCCACTTTAATGCTTAGCTTTGTGACCTGTAACAAAGAGAATATTTAACATTGCAGGTGTCAAAACAGACTAGCTTGAGTTGATAGCCTAGACAATAATAACTCATTTTTCCCAGAGGGTACAGAGTGAGAGGCTGTCAGAATCAAATAGTCAGTAGAAACTAGAAGTTTAGACCAAAGAGATTCTGTAAATAAGAAAGTTGAACACAAGCGTTGAGACCAGCACCGCCCAACAGAATTTTCTGAGATAATGAAAATGTTCAGGGTCTGGGTTGTTCAAAGCGGTAGCTGTTGAGACTCACATATGGCTAGTACGACTGAGGAGCTGAGTTAAGTTTACTTAGCTCTAATTAATTTAAATTTAGGTAGTCACATGCGATTACCCATCAGCATCCTGGGAAGCAACCCCAGCATCATCCTAACTGTTGTAAAGAAGTTACATGGTCATCTAGGGGATGCTGCTCCATCTTTAACCACTGAATTACACCAAACTCATACGAAAATCTCTTCCCAAAACCCCCAATAACTCACTTGAGACTGTTACCTATATGGAACAGAGACCAGCTCCCATTGGTGGGATCTGGTTCAGGTGGGCACCCCATTTTTGGACAAGGCTAAAGGCCTAAAGACGCACATACGTACTTAAAATGGTCCAGTAACATTTATTTTTAAATAGGACACAAGCATGCCTAAGTGGGTGATTATTGGGTAACTTCTGAGTGAAAGTGTATAAGGTATGACTGCCTGTAAAGCCAACATATGTAACTCCTTCAGACAGCCCATTCAGCTGTCCCTGATGGATAAAAGGTGTCTTCGTTATCAATTGCTGTGATAACGCTGCAGAACCACCCCCAAACTCAATGGCTTAAAACGATAAGCATTTATTGAGCTCATGATTTAATGGACCAGCAATTTAGGATGGGTTCAGAGCTGTAGAGAAAGCCTCAACTTTCTCTGGGACTACCTAAATAATCGTGAACAGAATGTTGGTGGAAATATGGGCGGTAAAGGCCATTCTAATGAGGTCTCAGACAGAAATGAGGAACACATTATTGGAAACCAGAGGAAGGACCATCCTTGTTATAAAATGGCAAAGAACTTGGCCGAACTGTGGCCATGTTCTAGTGTTCTATGGAAGGTAGAACTTGCCAGTAATGAAATTGGATATTTAGCTGACGTGATCTCTAAGCACAGTGTGGAAGGTGAGGCTTGGCTCCTCCTGACTGACTGTAGCAAAATGTGAGAAGGCAGGAACGACTTCAAGATAGAATTCATAAGCAAAAAGGAAGCAGAGCTTAAAGATTTGGCTAAGAAAAGCAAGGGAAGGGTGATCCTAAAGGCAATTCAGAGACCAAGGCTGCCTCCTTGGTTTCAAAAAGGGGGTGAATGCCTTGTTTTCAACAGGCCAGATGGCATCTGCCCAAAGTAGTGGGAGTGGGATCATCTAGCACAGCCCTGGGGGTGAGACCCCTGCCTCTGAGAGCTATGGAGACAGCACCTCTGCCCCAGCGGATCTGGGACTATTACCCAGTCAACCTGAAGGGCAGAGCATGGAGCCAAAGAGAGCATTGTACTCCAGACTTAAGATCCCATAGTTTGCCTTGCCAGGTTTTGGATTTGCTTGGGACCCATACCCCCTTCCTTCTTCCCCCTATTTCTCACTTTTGCAGTGAAAGTGTCTATCCTATGCCAGTTCCATTGTTGTATTTTGGAAACACATAACTCGTTTGGCTTGACAGGTTCACAGCTGGTGACGGATTCTGCCTCAGAATGAACCATATCTTGAGCATCACTCATATCTGATTTAGATGATATTTAGATATAATTTCGACTTTAGAGTTGATGCTGTAACAAGTTAAGATTTGGAGGGGTCGGAGAATGGAATGAATGTATTTTACATGCAAAAAGAACATGAATTTTGGGGGATCAGGGGCAGAATGTTATGGGTTAAATATTTGTACAACCCCCAAATTCACATGCTAAAACCCTAACCTCACCATGTGATGGTCCTAGGAAGTGGGAGGTAATTAGGATTGGATGAGGTCATGAGGGTGGGGCCCTCATGAGTGTGATTACTGCCCTGAGTCACAGGAGACCTTGCTTCCCCTCTCGGCTCTCTAACATGAGGATACAATGAGACATCCACAGCCTGCAACATGTAATGGGGCTCTCCCAAGAGGCTGGCACCCTGATCTGGGACTTCCAGCCCCCAGAACTGTGAGAAGTAAATTTCTGTTGTTTATAAGCTATCCAGTCCATGGTATTTTTATTATAGCAGCCCAAGCTAAGACAGGTGTAGACAAAGGAAAGGGCAAAGATCAATAATGATATTAATAAACTACACCCACAGGAAGACAGTGCCAAGCCCTGGAAGCCTTTCTTTCTGGAAAAAAAGTCACTGAACTACACCAAACTCATGCACAAATATATTTTTAAAGTCCCAGTAACTTAGACTTTTAAATATATAGAACAGAGATCACCCCTTTCTTACACTCCCAAAAGGCATCACTGGCCAATGTAAGGGCTTCTTATTTTAAGAAACAGCTAAAGGCCCAAAGACAGGCAAATACTTAAAATAAAACAGTTATACTTATCTTTCCATATGCCATATGTATGTCCAAGTGGTAACTTTTTTTTTAATTAGATAAAATGTGTAAGTTATGCCTGCCCATAAATTAATAAAACTGATTTGAACAAACAAAAACACAAAGTTTCTACGAAAAGCAGTGCACTTTTCCAGTGATGTTGACATTATTCAGAATACAATACCTCTTTTATAAACACTGTCAGAAACAAAAGCCGTGTTCTTTTACTGTCCTACACCATCTAGAATGCTTTCAGCTACAAGCACCAAAAACAGCCACAACTCAACGGGCTTCAACAGTAAAGGGAATTATCTCCCATTAAAGAAGTCCTAAGGCAGGGCTAGAGGGACGGACCACCAGGCAGGCTCAGGACCGGGGTTTCCCAGGACACAGGACCTTCAGTGCTAAATCCGGCAAGTCCCAGGCAAGCGGGAGGCGTTGGCTACTCCAGGGTTGGTTCCTTGAGCAGCTCAATGAGTCTTCAAGGACCCAGGGTCCTTCCTTCCATCATCCTGCTGCACGTTCTTCTAAGGCCAGTGACCCTTGTGGCGGCAACACTTTGGGGCTACATTCAGTAGAACAACAAAGAGAGCCATTTTCTCCTACACTTCTCTCTTTACCGGAAGGGCGTATTCTCCCCAAGTCCTTTGGCGACTTTGCCCCCATCTCACTGGCTAGGACGGTGTTCCTTACACTTACCAGGATCAGCTTAGGTCTGTGGCTAGAAAATGTCACCTGCCAGATCAGTAAACCAAGGATGTCGTGGCCATCAAGCCCTCAGCCACTACAGCCAACTCTGACGGTGCACCCTGAAGGGATTCAGGATGGAGAAAAGCAGGATAACCACCCTAGAGAGCTGAGGTACATATCAAAGGAATGATCTCAGGATCTTCCCATACAAAGGAAAGCAACTAAATTCCTTAACTTGAGGTGTCAGGTTTTCTTTAATGAACAGTAACCTTTTGATGTTACACTACCTGGTTTTATTGGGTTTGTTTGTTGTTGTTGCAAAACTCCTATATATGCTGGCTGCTCCCTCACCTCTTCAGAACAGTCCCCAGAGCCAACTGAGAGGCTATCTCCCAGGCTTAAGTCCTCAGTTTTGTCCACCAGATAAAACATAATCCTCGCTTTTAGGTTGTGCATTTTTTTTCAGTGGACAGGTTCACCAAGTCACCTTTGAGGCAGGACTCAATCAGCTTTCCCTAACCTCCTGGCTGCGTGGAGGAGCGTGGAACCCAATCGGCGTGTTGGGAAGGAAAAGGGAGAACCAAGAGTGAACACTGCGCATCCTCTGAGGAGGGTGTCTCCACTCAGGAGACCACCGAGGGGCAGGGGTAAGAATGGCACAGATCACGGACCTGTTAGAGGGATGTGACCTTCCCCACGTTGGGTAGGGAGCTGGCTACACAGGGCCCGAGTTTGAGAGCAGCGCGGCGGCAGCCCATCCCAGACACTGGGGAAGTGGTCAGCGGCAGAGGAAGCCCTTGCCCACGAGGCAAGCCAGCCGGACCCGGGATGCTCCCTCGAGCTCAACGGCACCTGAGCACCCGCGCCCACCTTTTTCCAGTAGAAAGACACACATGTTGCATCACTTTTGTCTCCCAAGGCTCCCACGAGGTCAGTGCCCACGCTAACCCCAGAAGTCTGCAGGGAGGGGAATTCTGGGAAATGTAGTTCCAGCTGCGCTAATTTGTCCAAGAACAAAGCCGGAACCATGCAGTGTGCTTTGAGTTTTGGAAACAGCCTAGTTAAAATCTCAAGCTAAGTC